ATAAGAGATTAAAAAGTTCTAGCTTTATAAAACTTGTCTGCCAAAGAAGGAGTGCCTTTTTGAAAAGTAGATAAATAATAACCCGTAGAACTCATAAAATTTTCTTCGTTGAATTCAGTGGGGCGCGACTCGGCAAAATTTGCATTAAATTCTTGTAATTGCTGATACAAAGGCTTCTGGGATGTGTAGTACAGCCAGATTGTAAACATAAACAACGAAATACAAATAAAAAAATACAATATATACTTTTCTATCGCATGATACAGCTGATTTTTATATACTTTTTCTTTCAATTATTTTAAGTTGACAAACTATAGTATAGAATACTAAACCATGTCTGCTGGATTTTGCGCAGCTCCTAATTGTCATCATAAACGAGGAAAAAATGTTGATAAAAGTGTGTCGTTTTTTCGCTTTCCAAAAGACAAAAATAGGTTAGTATCTATTTTATTATTAATTTATATATATATATATATATATATATATATATATATATATATATATATATATATATATATATATATATATATATATATATATATATATATATATATATATATATAATATATATATATATATATATATATATATATATATATATATATATATAAAATAATAATAAAATAGATACTAACCTATTTTTGTCTTTTGGAAAGCGAAAAAACGACACACTTTTATAAACATTTTTTCCTCGTGTTAAAAATTATCGTTTAAACAAAAAACTATTGTTTTTAAAAACACAAAATAAAAAATGCAATGGATCTATTGAACATATTTGTGATCTTGCAAAGAAATACCTTTCTGAAAACCAGATTAAATTTTTTGAGAGTCAACTTAGAATGAACAAGCGAACAAAACATGGAAAAAGGTGGACAATACATGACAAACTAGTTTCTCTACGCATCTTGTATCATAGTCCACAGGCATTTCGTATTTTGAGGCGAATTTTTACTTTGCCAAGTAAGACAACTCTTCTTATTTTTTTTGTCAAAAGCATTTGGAAACCTACAGCCTGGATTTTCTGCAAAAGTTTTTGCTTTACTCAAAATGCGAGTCAATCATATGAATGTCAATGAACGCAACTGTTGCCTTGTATTTGACGAGATGTCTCTCAAACAGCATGTAGACTATCAAAGAGATCTTGACCACACTGGAAGCAGCCAATTGCATATTTTTATAGCAACAACTCAGTTCAATCAGTTAAATTATCACAAATAATATTAGAAGCAATAGACAAACTGACTTCAATTGGACTACATGTACGAGCTGTTGTGTGTGACCAAAGTACTACAAATATTTCAGCTTTGAAGTTACTAGGGTTCCTTAACACAAGACCATACATATCACCTTCCTCAATTCAAACAAATGTATACATAATATTTGACCCTCCACACTTGATAAAAAGTCTTCGAAATAATTTAATTAGACATGATATATCTACAAATGGAAAAACTGTATCATGGAAATACTTGCAGTCTTTTTACAATATAGACAAGCAAAATCCAGTTCGACTTGCTCCAAAGTTGACAGACAGCCACCTTGAACCTGGATCTTTACTATCTATGAGAGTAAAATTGGCAACACAAGTTTTTAGTCACCAAGTTTCAGCAGCTATGTCCTTATGTATAATCGCAAAGCTTTTACCACCTGATGCTTTGGCAACATGTGAATTAATTAAAAAAGTTGACACTCTTTTTGATATAATGAACTCTAGAAAATTAAAAGCAGACAAACCAGCTAGGTGTGCATTAACTGAAGGAGAGACTATGAAAACCTAGGAAGATATTAAGAATTGGATTTCTACATGGCATTATGAAAATGCTAGAAGTCAGACTAGTATTTCCAGTCACTGGGGACTTATAACAACAATAAACAATATTATGACATTGTCAAGAGAGTTGCTTGGTGAAGGTTTTCATTTTGTTTGCACATCACATTTCAATCAGGACTGTATAGAGAATTTTTTCGATTATAAGAAGTAAAGGTGGTTGGAATGACAGGCCAACAGCCAGACAATTTAAGTCTGCATACCAAAATGCTTTACTACTTACTTCTGTTGAACAAACTAAGTCTAATACAAATTGTGTTTCAGAATCTGATTTTACTGCAGCAATATCGTTAGACTTATGCTTTAATTTAGTAAATGAACAAAGTAATGTAGCAAATAACTCATTATTCAATGAACAAAAGTCAACTCACATAGGTAATGTAAAACCTTTGATACTAATAAAGGATTTGAAATTACAAATATGTTCTGAAACTGTAGAACAGAGTTTATGTTCTCTTGCTGGTTGGCTAATTAAAAAAGTCTCTTTATGTCAATTATGCACAAATAATTTATCTCAACCATCTGCTGAAATCTGTGGTAATTTTGATGAATTTGTCTATACTAAGAAATATGAAACAAAAAATCATTCAATAGAACCAAGTTCTTGTTTACGCGAAGTTGTAAGAGTAATGGAAGCCATTTTCACTAACAACATTAATAAAATAATTGTATGCAAAAATATAGCAGGAACTATCATTAAAGCTATCAAGAAAGACTGCAATTTCGTTTTTTTATACAACCTCCACCCAAAACATGCATCGCATTTGGAGAGAAAACTGATACACTATTTTGTTGATATTCGAATTTATTATTTCATCAAATTTTACAATCGTGACATAGCTCCACGTTATAAAAAATGCCTTAAAAAAATGGCTCGTATTACTCATAAATAGTAAAAGATTATATTTAGTTAAAAAATGTGTATTTATTTATAATGTACTAAATTGAAATTATAAATTCTAATATCCTTTAATTTTTTTATATTATATATAAGATTAGGATAATAAAAATAGCAAAAACATATATAAAAGTATAAAAAAACAATATTGAAAAAATATCAAAACTAGAAGGAACATTTGAGTTGTTTTATACTAACAGAGCTCAATAAACAATTCATACAGCAGTTGTATAATTTTAGGCTACTAAATAAAATGTCTAAATATTGAAACATTTACAAAACTATAATATAGCCTTATTGTAGGGTTGTTAAAAATTTTTCTTATGTTTAGTTGAAACCCTGATTGCTGTCTACCATACAGTTATATTATAAACCTTCTAGCATACTGCAGAGGGTAGTTAAGAATTGAAACGTACATATATTGAAAAAAAAAACAAGTTTATATAACTAATACGTTTACTTCGTTAGACAATGTAACATGTGTAACAATGTTACATTGTTCAAATGATTGTTACAATAATTTTTACATTGTTAGTAAACAGTGTAGCAATATACAATTTTAAAAAAGCTGTAATATATAAGTTTAAAATAGTATGACTTTTAATTTATGGCATTTAATGTTTGTATTTTTGTTATATTTTGAACATTAAAAATAAAATTGAATGTTATTTTTTATTGTTCAAAATATAACAAAAATACAAGCTTTAAATGCTATAAAAAGTTTTATACTAACATATTCCCGCGTTATCAAAACAAACTATTTAGTTTACAAGTAAAAAAAGGTTGATGCTACATCTTATTAAAGCATTATTGTTTAAAAATAAGTTAGACCATCTTTACAAAAGCATTATTCTGTCAAAACGTATTTACATACGTATTGTTGTTTACAAATCTGGCTGTACTAGACATCCCAGAATCCCCGTTCGCCGAATTACAAGAAATCGAGCGAGTCGTACACCACTGGTTGAATTGATCAAATTTGTGACATGCAGCGTGACATGCAGCGCGTGACATTGCAGTGACATGCAGCGCGTGGAATTTTTAAATTAAATAATAGCCTGTAAATATTATATTGCGTTTGATTTAACCGCCTTTAAATAAGTAAAAGGGAAGTTTAAATTTTTTATATCTAGTTTTAAAATAATATGTTTATCTTAATATTTAATATATTAAAGACATTATTATACTATATTACTATAACAAACTTGTTTTCTTGCCGTTTTTATTATTGATAAAAATAGTTACATGAACGCCATATAAATACCTTTTTGGCGCTAAAAGTGGAGCTTATGCACAAAATTGACACTTAGCATATTATATTTTTTTAAGTAAAAAAATTTACATAACTTTTATAAACCGGTGATGCAATTCAATGTAAACTAAAAAGGTTTTCGAGAGAAAAAAACTCAATAAAACTTCAAGTCTATATAAAAAAATGCGCAGTATTGAATTTAAACTAGTTTATTTAAAATACAAAGATCTACGATGATAAAAATTCTGAATATTAAAAAAAAAACCTACAATTTCACTAGCTTAAAATAAAATAAACTGGGAAAACATAACATATATTTCGATTGGATAATTGGGTTCCGCAAAACTCAGATACGCCAGAAGCTAGTCTAAAAAAACCTATTTACTTTTTTACTCTCGACATTTAAAGAACTATCTTTTTCCTGTGTTCCTTTTAACAAAACAAATATGAATATATGTAAATATTGGTGAAAATTATTTGTTTAAACTTTATTTCAAAAATTTGATAAGACAATGTCCGACCAAAACAACTTTTGGTCAGTTATATAAGACACGTAGGTAGAAAATTTCCTTTAGAGTAAAGAAAATTTTCTACCCTCCTGTCTCTTATATAACTTTTACGATTGGTTTAATTTTTTCAATTAGACTTATTTTTCAGTGAAAACTTTTGAACTTTACTAATAACTAACTCCTAAAGTTAAGTAATTAGTTATTAGCGAAGTTCCAAACCTTGATATTGTAATATTTCAAAAAGTTTATTAACTAATGTACTGGTCCAATTATTTCGAATAGCACAATCTAAAAGTTGTTAATTAAAGATATTGAATTATATTGAATTATCAGCATTAATTCTCTGTGTTATTAATAGGTTTTCCTTTTGAAAAATGACTTTGCATGAGATTCTGCAATGTCTAAGTTTTTCAAACAGTCAAAACTTGGTTCTTGATATAGTATATCAATTATTATACTTGAAATACAATATCAAGTGTATAAGTATATACTTAGTATATATATATGCACTGTAAAAAAAAAAGGTTTCCAAAAAAGGTTTTTCACACTTGCATAAGGTTTTCTACCACTAGAAAACCTTTTGGTGTGTAAAAAAAGGTTTTTTGAAAGGGTTTTATTTTTTCGTTCGTCGTAAATCATATAAAAAACCCGAGTGCCGTTTATTGATATCGAGGCATAATTAAAGAAGGATAAAAATAGAAAGGGTTTTAAATAAAATTACAATTGCCTAGAAATATGATATTTTAAATAAAATAAATAGTATTTTTATTTTATTATACTTAAAATTGTATTTTGTTAAAATTTTTAAAGTAAAATACGCAAAATTGTATACTTTTTAAGTTAACCGATTTATCTATGAGATTCCTATAGGTCAATTAAAATATTTTTACAATTTTAAAGTAAAGCTAATAATTAAAATTTAAAGTAAAACTAATAATTAAGTTAAAGAATTATGTCTGCAAATATTAAAAACTGGTCGCCTGCAGAAGTAGCCAAATGGCTGTTAGATAATGGATTTAATGAAAAGACTGCAGCCGAATTTGAAAGTAATTTTTTTATTATTATGCATTTTATAGTAAACATTTTAACTGTACTGTTTACATTTCAGATTCCTGATAATATACAATAGCCAAATATGCCCCAATTTTATTGTGAATGTGGCAACAATTATTTTTCATTTGGAAAGTAAATACTTTCCATCTTTCCATCAACGACATCTTATCTTGTTTCATGAAAATCAGCCTCTTTTTTACGTTAGATGTGTTTCAAGTGCATGCAAGCAAACTTTCAAAAGTGCTAATAGTCTAAAAAAATATGTTCAACGAAAGCACAGTAATTTATTTAGAAGCTGGTCTAATGATAATGAAAGTGATCAGGGGAGTAGAAATAATAGAGATGATAACATCATAGATTCATCTGAAACAACCGAAGAATCAAATGATCAAAATAATGTAAAGTTAGATCAAGATTTTAAATGTAAAAATATTACTGATATGCTTAACACTTTGGAAAAACATTTTGCATTTCTTCTTTGCGACTCAGAGAAGTGCACATACTTCCAGCTTCTGTTCATGCAGAAATTGCAAAAGATATACAAAACCTACTTTTGATTACACTAAGTAGTTTTAAGGATGTTATATGTCAATATTTATTCAAAAATAATATTTTACCACTAGACAATGATTGGGCACATATAACAGACACAGAAAGATTGCTGCAATTCATGGGTGAGATGTCTTCAAGTGAAAATAGACTAATTGGATTATTGAAAAGCAAAAAAATGATTGCAATGCCAAGACAAATAGATTTTAGAAAAAATAATACAACTGCTGTTTTTCAATACATTCTGATTCTAGAAGTTTTATCAAAATTAGTTTCCCATGAAGATGTTTACAATTGTTTGGGTGACAGTTACAATCAGTCTTTTTCTAATAATGATTTTATGATGTCTTTTTGTGACAGTGAACTTTTTCATAGTGACAATTTTTTTTCTGAAAATCCAAGTGCATTGCAGATTCAGTTATATGTAGATGTTGAGCTTTGCAATCCAATAGGAGCTAAGCGAGGGAAGCATATAGTGACTGCATTTTATTTTTTGTTAGGCAATATTCCATCTAAGTTTCGTTCAAAGCAAAAGTTTATTCATTTGGCTTTATTGATTGAACATAAATTTATAAAAATGGCCGAATATGACTACACTGAAGTTCTTCGTCCATTAATTTATGATTTATATGTACTGCAGAGAAAAGGAATTGAGGTTTCCGTTAATGGATTACGTCAACGTTTAAAAGGCAAACTTACAGGTATATCAGCTGATATGCTTTCAGCTCATGCTATAGGAGGATTTTAGCAGTATTTCCATACTGGAAGAATTTGTCGTTTCTGTATGGTGGACAAGTCAGAAGTTGGAAATAACTTTAGTGACAGCACTCTTCGTCTCAGAACACTCTTCGTCTCAGAACACCAGAAATTCATGAATACCACTTAGCTGCTATAATTGATAATGCAGCAAACAAGAATGTGTATGGTGTTAGCAAAAAGTGTGATTTTTTAGAGTTAGATAACTTTGATGTACTTACAGCTTTCCCTCCAGATATAATGCATGATTTATTTGAAGGCATTATGCCAGTAACTTTGAAATGTGTTATCAAACATTTGTTACGTTCTTGTAATACATTATCAGTAAATAATATAAACGATTCTATAAACAAAATTCATTTAATTCATCTAATCGCCCTTGCCAATTACCTAAAAACATTGCATCAGATAAAGCACACATAAATGGAACAGCTGTACAGAAATTAGAACTTTTCCTATTGTTTCTGCAGTTAGTCGGTAATGATGTACCACATGGAAATATTGGCTGGGAGGTTTATCTTATACTTCGTGAAATATGTGACATTGTTATTGCCCCAATTGTAGATAGTGACAGTATATACATGTTAGAAGAACTAGTTGCTATGTTTTTGAAAACATTTTCTGAAGTATTTGGTTCTGAATATATTATTCCAAAAATGCACATGCTTGTTCATTACCCTCGTCTGATACGTCTTTTTGGGCCTTTACGAAATTTTTGGTGTTTACGATTTGAATCTAAACATCAGTATTTTAAAAAAGCTGCCTCAAATGGACGATATTTTAAGAATATTACCAAAACATTGTCAAAGCGTCATCAAATGTTGCAGTGCTGGGAAATGCTGACAGGTGATATGCTTTTATCTAATTATACTGTGTCTGGAAACGCACCTAGATTTTTTCATAACTTGGATGTTAAAGTACAAGAAGCTATAAGATTGTTACTTAATTTAGATATAGAAGGGAATGAATCTATAGTTATAGCGAAATCAATATCAGTTGTATATATTTATAGTTGTATATATATATAGTTGTATATATCATATGTAATAATGTATATACATATTACTTGCTATAACCTTGTATAATTACTTTAATGTGATATTATTTAGATGTCAAAAGTATATCATGTCAAAAATGTATATTTTGGTTACTGTTCACAAGCTGATTGTTGTAAGATAATATACCACTCTATGTACAGTTGTAACTTCTTTTTATTAGTTGGCTAATGTGGTACAAGGTGAGGATGACATAAGCATAAAAAAACATCAAGATGCTTTAAAAAATGAAATAAAAAAACAGACACCAAGCTTTGATATAATCAAAGAAAAAATGAAAAGAACTTGTGAGTACAGACAACTTTTCTGCCATGCCCACACAACTGCAGAAGTTCTGGAAGGATTTCCGTGTTTACGACTAAATATTTTTGTAAGATTATATAAAGAACTATTGTTCTTTTATAAAATGTACTTTTTTTTACAATATTTTTATTGACTTTCTTTGACAGTTATGAAAGACTATATAAAAATTATTACCTTATGAACATTTAAATTTTAAAGTATAGGCTTATTTTTGTAATAACATAATGTAGGTGAATTTTACAAATGATTTTTTTAAATTAAAATTTACAGCAGATGTGCTTTTGCTGTATGGTGTAGATGTAACCAATTTAAAAATGAAATTTCTAACCCTTTATGATGGTGTGATCAAAGAAGCAGCCAAAAGATGCAAAAAATATTGTGAATATTCAAGAATGATAAACAAATATTTAGAAAAAACTTTGGACAATGATAAACAACAGGGTAATTTTTATTTATTTTTATTTTTCATTCTTACAGTTCTGGTTTTATTGTAAAATAAAAGTTGTAATTTTCCAACATCAATTAATACTAGTTACAGTAGGCAATGAGTTACATGAGTTTAGTAATTCCACGAGTAATTCCAGCAAATATTGATTAACTTGAAATCATTTGACCATTTCTTAATACATTACATGTGTGCTAATACTGCTATTTTATATATACTAGTTTTATCAAATATATTATTTTGCATATATTTACAATTAAAGATATAAATACTTTTAGATTGGAAGGTGATGTTTGTTACATTGCTGTTACCCTCATTATTTGGGGAGAAAGAAGAGTTGTTTTTTCCCTTACCAAAGCAGGTAGATGTTTATTGGTACATTGTACACTATTTAGGAAATTGCACTTGATCTTTTTTTTTTTACAGTCCATTTTTTATAGTCGATTTCAATATAATATATTTCTTATTTATTTAACTATATAAACTAATATATATTTTATAACAAGATGGTCTAAGAAATATTAGGAAATATTAGATCTAAGGAAATGCAAAAATTTACTGGTTTGAGGAAATAAGTTATTGAATATTTTAAGTCCATGTAAATACTCTCATACGAAGGACACAATTTAAAAAAGTGATGTTGTTCTTTAGCTGAGGAGTTCGCAATAATTTGTATTATATGGTAATGTTTTCAAATAAAAAATTTTAAAATTGAATGATTTTCAAAGTTTTGTACTAAAGGGTTTTTAAGTTGTTGCAGGTTGTTTTTTTAATGAAATTAATTATTATATTTATTTATTTATTTATACAGCAAATACCACTTAGTCCAGTCATATTGTCACAAGACGACGAGTGGAATATATCAGTCGACAAGGAAGTTTTGTTTCTTAAAACTATTTCCACTTTTTCCGCGGCTTTTCAAGCATGGTTTGCAGCATTTTGGATATTCAGCATTGAATTCCCAAAAGGATTGTCCAATACATGTCAATTTTTAGAAAAAGTGCTTCTTGGTGGGAAAGGAAAATAGCCAAATATTGTCAGCAAATGGGGCAACCGTCTTTTGCACTAAAATATGACTTTTGTTTTTTGTCTGTTTTTGTTGTAAATCTTTATAATTTATTTATGTTTTTTTGTCACTAAATTTGAAAAAACTTCTGAATATTTGCAATATTTCTAAATTTTATTATATTTTATTGTGCTACTGGGCGATTTCTCAATTTAATTTTTGAAAATAGGTCTTAACGTTCAATAAACTTCAATATCACTTATAACGTTAAAATATAATAGTTGTAATAGTTAAATTTGTAGCAGAAAATTTGTATGATAACTCATAATAGTTTAATAAATTTGCTCATAATAGTTTCATATTATAGTTTTAACGTTATTTTCCAATTTTTTCAGTTTTGTACAACTTGTTTTTTTTTTGTACAACATTTATTGACATGTCTCTAATGTTTTTATTATTTTATGTAAACTTTTTTGTATATTAATTTAATGTTATAAGATTTTAAACATCATTAAATAAGTTTTTTTATTGAGTTTCCAAATTGCAGTGGAATTAAAGAATCTAAACATTTGCATATAAGCAATATTATCTATAAATTAAAGTGTATATTCAATCTATCCTAAATATAAAACTTTATACGTTATATATATCCAACTTTATACGTGCTTGAAATCGTTATTGCGCAATATAAAAAATTTTTGAATAATTTATAATTCAAATAAAAAAAAAAGTACAAGTTAAAAAAGGGTTTTCTAGTTTCGGATTAAAGGTTTTTAAAAAAAGGGTTTTCTAGAAAACCCTTAAAGGGTTCCACCCTCGGGACAAAGTAAAAAACCTTTTAGAGCTATTTAAAAAACCCTTTTTTTTTACAGTGTAAGTATATCATATACCTAGTTTTCAACTATTTCTTTCAATATCTGTATCAATTTTAATAACACCTTTAAAGGTTATACCTATAACTTGATTCTTTCTTTTGTTGTGATGTTTTTTTTTCCAGTGATACACAACATAGAGTAACTAAAGCCACATCATAAAGGTGGCTTTTGTTACCCCATACTTTATAATAAGTCAAAATTCCTTAAGTAATAAATTTTTTCTCTTTTTTAGGACTAAAAATACCTCAAAACCCAAAGAAGAAGCTTGGTAGCCGGAAGTATAAGGATTACACAGATGAAACGCTGAAAATAGCTGTAGAAAAAGTGAAGAAAGGGTCATCTTTAAGAAAGATTGCTGAGAAATTTGCTATATCAAGATTCGCTCTCACTGATTGGTAAGGTTAACAAATGTGGTAGGCCTCCAGTTCTTAATTCTGAAGAAGAAAGAAGAAACTTAATGTCCTACCAGGAAAGGGGATTGAAGGGATTGAAGACACAATTCTGATCAATGATGATGATCCTCAACCAAATAGTTCCAATACACCCAATACCAAAACAAAGGAAAACCACAGCAAACTAAAGACTTTGAAACATAATAAGAAACTTGCGAATTCCGACTCATTTGATGATAGTGATGACCAGTATTCTTTGAGAGACTCAAATTCAGATATGGATCCAGAAACATTTAGTGACCTGGAATCGGAGATACCAGTAGATCTACAACTAGAAGAAACAACTTATGACGAACCCCCCAAAATAGGAGTCTCTAAAGGAGACATTAAACCTGATATTTACGTCATTGTTGAGCTCATCTTTGATAAGAACACAAAAAAAGAAACCACCAAACAGTTCTATGGAGTCATTCTTAGAACTTGTTTTGAGAAGAACGAAGTTACAGTAAAGTTTTTCAGAAGAAGCTCCAAATCAAAAGGAAATGACTATATATTTCCAAATGTTGATGACGAAATGGACATTCAGTTAACAGACGTCATTTCAATTGTGAAACCATCCAAAGTAAACAGAGGACGTTATACTTTTCCTTATAAACTACCGGTAAAGCACTGATTTCAACAAGACCTATTTTAAATAATATTTTTGTATCTTTTTAATATTTTTCTTAAACAATAAAGCTTTTTTCTTGTCAATAGTGGTTCTTTATTGTTACAGATGCATGATTTATGGATTTAGTTACCTTAGCACTCTCTAACTAAAGCCAAACATTGCTTTTTAATGGATGGCTTTTGTTACCCCTTTTCCAGGGGTAACTAAAGCCACCATGTTTTCATTTTTTTTATTAAAAAAATGTATATTTCTGCAATTTATGAATATATTTCTTTAATATATGACCACAGACCCAAGTTTTGCAATATTTATTTAACCTATAAATTAAAGGGTCTGACTTGGGCAGAAGTTTGAATTTCGAAAGTGGCTTTAGTTACCCCCATCTACAGTAATTAAATGTTTAAATATATATATATATATATATATATATATATATATATATATATATATATATATATATATATATATATATATATATATATATATAAATTAGCAAGAACCTGTCTGTAAGTCGCTTTTCATTAGGTGTTTTTAAAATTCTCCTTGCATCTTTGGGAAGTTCCAAACCTTGATTTGCCAATATTTCAAGAAGATCATTAACTAATGTACTGGTCCCATTATAGAATAGCACAATGTTGTCGAATAAAGACATCGAATTCAAAGAATTATCAGGATAATTGTTCTATATATCATTAACAGGTTTTCCTATTGAAAAATTCGATTCTGCGTGAGATGTCTAAATCTTTGAAATTGTTAGAACTTGGTTCTTGATATAGCAATACTATACTAATAGTATATCAAGTATATATATACATAGTATAGCATATATTCCGTTTTAAACCGTTTCTTCCATTATCTGTAAAAATTTCATTACCTGTATCAACAATACCACAATTTTTAAGTAATTGATAACAAAAATATAAATTAGCTAGAACGTGTCTATTTGTCGTTGTAAAAAGACTTCTTTAATAATTAAAAAAACATTTTAAAAATGCGTTACTTAAAAATTTTAGGAAGTTTTAGCGCTTGCGTGATTTAACTGATTTTTTTTTTTTTAATAAAGCATTCTGGATATTTTTTGGACGAAAAAATTATTGGACGCGAAAAAGACGTTCAAAAAACGTTTAAGACGGACGGATGCGATTTGAACGTACTAAGGACGTCTTTTTTACGTCCCGTGCCCACTGGGTATAACTTTAATAAATTAGCGATTTGTATATACATTTGTATATATTTGTATATATATATATATATATATATATATATATATATATATATATATATACATATATATATATATATATATATATATATATATATATTTATATATATATATACATATATATATATATATATATATATATATATATATATATATATATATATATATATATATATATATATATATATATATATATATATATATATATATATATATATATATATATATATATATATATATATAATTGTAGTTTTCTCTCAGAAATATAACATTAAGTGAAAATGTTTTTTTTTCTTTACTCAATTAGAATTTGTCTCACAAAATTATAATCAAAATTTATACAAAATCATGTCTAATATATTACCATTACAACCCACATAAACGTATTTACAATCTCACCTTAACCTTATGAACACATGAGCAGTTACATGCAAAACCGAACAAACATATTATCAACATTTATCAAATATAAACCCACTTAAATTACAAACCAATTAACCACTTTACAAAATACTATAACATCAAACTTAATATAATTAGGGACTTTCACAGAGTGCGGGTGTGGTGTATGACTTTTTAATAGGGGATAAATGAAAAAAATAGCGATTTTGTTTAATTAATTAAAAGCAGTTTTTCGTTGTTTTAGTTTTTGTAAACGACTTTAATAGACGAATATTGGATATTTTTTGTTGAAATAACTTGTATTACAAAGATATTAACACTATAAAGTGGTTTTGTTCTTTATATTTATGTTACAATAACGTTAATATAAAAAAAAGGAGATGAAACTTAAATAAAGTAATATGGAATAATACTTTGTTCTAGTCCAATCTTCTTAATTTCCATATATCGGACAAACGGATACATTTTTTTTGGAGACAGCACTTAATCTCATTAACTTAAGTTAGCTCACCGTCTCAGTAATACAGTATAGTATTCATAAAAGTTAATGCAAAAAGTGGTAGGTTAGATTTAAACAGAATAGGGAACCAATAACTTCCGATAGATAAAAATAAAAATAATATAAAACATCACTGGATATTGTTAACAATCTAAATCTTCAAAAAACTCATGCTATTATTTCATATCATCTTAAAAGTTTTCTAATTAAAGAATAATTTCAAAACCCTAATATAATAGATGAAAAAATATGCTAATTATTTTATTTATTATTTTATGTTATTTTCTTTATTATAGAGACATAAACCTTTAAATAAAAGACTTAAAAAGCTAATGCACAAATACAATCAAAAAATAAAATTTAATTCTACATATAAAAGTAAAACTTCTCAAAAATTTGAAAATAATTATTATTACAAAGTTACTAAAACCATATAAACTAACCATTAATAAAATAATCCTTCATAATTGAAATACCTTTTATCTATTGGAATGTGCAATGTATTATTTGATATCACAACCCCTTATTTACTATTGTGTATTAAAATTGTAAAAGCACTTGTTATTGAGCTTTAGATAAAATAACTAAATAAATTTTTTTTAATTTGTCTTTGTGCATTAGTAGTTCTGAGTTATATTTTACTAGTTAATTTTTACTGAGTTATATTTTACAAGTTATATTTTACTATTTGACACTTTTTAAAAAAGCTGGCCTTCGTTGAGATTATCCTATTTATTAAAAAAGACTTCCCAAAATATTTTTCAAGAATGTACATTAGGGTGTCCCATAAAAAAAAAAAAAAGCTCTCTACTGATTCCCATTCTATTTGATCTAAATAAGTCCTAAAAAAAAATTTGACGGTTTTATTTAGGCAGGAAGTGCTAGATGTAAAATTTGAGTTTTACGGTTTTAATGTTAAGCTGGCCTAACTTTAATAGAAAACACAATTTTTTTTACATGTTAGAAAATTAAAACAAAACAATTAGATGCGTATAAATCATTTCCAGTTGTTTTCTACTATTTAACTTGATAGTTTATATTTATAAATAAGAAAATACAAAAAAAGAAAATTAAAACTAATATTTATTAGCAAATTTAAGATTTTATTGCGGTGAAACATTTTTTCAAAAAATACA